CCTCCTCCTCCTCCTCCTCCTCCTCCTTCTCCTTCTCCTTTTCCTTCTCCTTTTCCTTCTTCGTTCTCCTCCTCCTTCCTCCTCCTTCTTCCTCCTTCCTTCTTCTCCTTTCCCCTCCTTCTTTTCCTTCCCTTTCTCCTCCTCTTCCTTCTCCTTCCTTCCTTCTTTCCTTCCTTCTTTTCTTCTTCCTTCTCCTCCTTCCTCCTCCCTTCTTCTTCCCTTTCCCCTTCTTCTTTTCCTTCCCTTTCTCCTCCTCTTCCTTCTCCTTCCTTTCCTTCCTTCTTTTCTTCCTTCTCCTCCTTCCTCCTCCCTTCTTCTTCCCTTTCCCCTTCTTCTTTTCCTTCCCTTTCTCCTCCTCTTCCTTCTCCTTCCTTCCTTCTTTCCTTCCTTCTTTTCTTCTTCCTTCTCTTCCTTCTTCCTCCCTTTTTCTTCCCTTTCCCCTCCTTCTTTTCCTTCCCTTTCTCCTCCTCTTCCTTCTCCTTCCTTTCCTTCCTTCTTTTCTTCCTTCTCCTCCTTCCTCCTCCCTTCTTCTTCCCTTTCCCCTTCTTCTTTTCCTTCCCTTTCTCCTCCTCTTCCTTCTCCTTCCTTCCTTCTTTCCTTCCTTCTTTTCTTCTTTCTCCTCTTCTCCTTCCTTCTTTCCTTCCTTCTTCTTTCTCCTCCTCTTTCCTCCTTCCTCTTCCTTCTTCTTCCTTCTTTTCTTCCCTCTTCTTCATCCTCCTCCTCTTTCTTCAATTCGTCTTTTACCACTTCAGCCATCGAGGGAAGTCTTACTACCCCTTGACAATGCCTTGGTAAGACCACCCTCGGAATCTTGCATCCAGCTTTGGGTCTCCACAAGGGAGTTTGAGCGGGGGGCATCCCCCACGTGGGCCAGGTGACTCTGGGCCAGGGAGGACGCAACCACTGTCTGCGCGTGTCCATCCTGTCTCCAGGTCTTTGAGGACGAGTGGGAGTCGGACCGAGAGAGCGACGCGGAGTCGGACTGCTTCACAGAAGGGTCGCTGGCGTTTCGCACGGGGGACCCTGAGCCCGCCGCCCTGGTTCCCGAGGCTCTTCGCGGCCACTCTACCCCGAAACCTGTTCGGTGTTGCAGCGTTCCCATCGGGGCATCCTCGGCGGCAGATCTGGAGTGGGACCCCTCGGTGGACGTGGGGGGCTCCACCTCGCAGGACGAAGACTCCTCGTATTACAGTGCTGTGGTGGGTAAGTGGGACGCACAGCTAGGACACCGTTACGACGTTAGTTATCCTTCCAAGTTACAACAGCACTAAAAAAAGGGACTTACGCCCGTTTTCACACTTACGACTGTTGCAGAATCCCCAGGGTCAGATTTTCCAGACTCAGAGGCTTTGCAACTGGCATGGACTTATGATGGTTGCCATGTCCCCATGGGCGGATTTTGCAACCTTCTGATAGGGAAGCCGGATCCACTTAACGATCCGGTTACAGGTAGTCCTTGATTTACGGCCACCAATGAGCCCCAGATTTCCGTCGTTAAGTGAGTTTGCACCCATTTCACGACCTTTCTTCCCACAGCTGTTAAGGGAAATCACTGCTGTGGTTCAATTAGGAACATGGTCGTTAAGTGAATCTGGCTTCCCTATGGACTTTGCTTGCGAGCAGGTCGCAAAACGAGATCGCATGACCCCCCGGGACACCGCGGCTGTCATAAATGTGAATCACTGGGCCAAGCATCTGAATTTTGATCCCGGGATCGTTTGACGTCACAAAGGTCGTAAGTGTGAAAAACAAAAGTCACATTTTTTTCAGTGCCGTTGTAGCATCGATTGGTCACTAAACAAACTGTTGTAGGCCAAGGACCACCTGTGCTGACGTAACAATGGCAGTGATTCACTTAACAACTGGGGAAGGAAAGGTCGTAAACCGGGGGCAAAATCCACTTAACAACAGTTTTGCTTAGCAACAGAAAAGCTGGACTCGGCGGTGGTCGTAAACCGAGGAGACTCTGTAC